ACCTCTGTAGTGCTGACCCGATCGAAAGAGGTCAATGCATCTTCAAGGACCGGTCCAGACGGCAGGTCGTACGTGCTTGTGGGGTCGTGGACTATAGCATGGAAGTGGTCATTCAGGTTAGGTGCAAGAATGGGAGACGACTTTGGTTTACGCTTTGTCACATAGTTGATTGTAGCCCATAAGCGACGCGGAGATTTTCTGTATTCGGCACAAATTCTCTGATAGTGCTGGTTCCGCAGACGACGATAGAGATTGTTACATTGGGTGCGAAGGCGCTGAAAGCTGTTGTAAAGCTTGGTGTCTGTGGAACCTCCCTTGCGCCACGTGCGAAAGGCCGCTTTGCGCCTCCGAATTAGTGCTTGTAGCTCTGACGTAACAAAGGGGCACTTTCGACGAGGAGCATGTCGGTAATGCTTAGACGGTTTATATGGCGCTACCAAATCCAGCACTGAGTCAACTTTACTTGTCCATTCGTCAACCATACTATTCACGCTGGAAGAGAGAGAGAAAGTACAGAGGTTTGCGGACTCTAAGAGGGTCTCCAATTGCTTGATATCGGTGTTGGAAAAGTCCCGACTGGGCAGGCGCTGGTTGCAGTCAGTCGGGAAAGAGTAGGGGTCGGGGGTGGTCAAGGTTGCACATACCAAACAGTGATCGGAGTGCTCAAAGTCATGAACAATACCGCCTGAGACAGCATCTGTATTACTTAGAATGTAGTCAATTGACGATGACGACTTCGGACAAACACGAGTTGGGTCGTGAATACAGTTTAGAAAGTTAAAGGGCAAAAGAAAGTTGGTAAGGAGAGACGAGTAGAGCTGGGATGTAGGTTGGAGAGAATCCACGTTCAGGTCACCCATGAGCACCAACGAGTTACCCTGGAGTTCTGTCAGTTCCTGCGCCAGGGAAGTCCAAAACGATGCTGGGGAATTCGGGGGTCTGTAGAGGCAACCAAGATGGAAGGGAGCAGCATTGCGTCGCCGGCGAGATGTAAGCCAGAGCATTTCAAAATTATTTGAGCTTTGTAGCAAGTGCCGGGTAAAGCCAAGTCTAGTGCTGGTGTACACACAGACGCCTCCCGCCTTGCGGCAGGGGACTGAAAGACCACTAAGGCAGGGGCAGCTTCGTGGACACTCTCGGTCGCGCCGGAACAGCGTGTACCCGTCAATAGCTAGTTCTGAATCAGCAACCGTATTGTCAAGCCAGGTTTCAGTAATAGCGAGAACATCCAGGGAATGGTCGGAGATGAGGGATTGAATTTCATGGAGTTTATGTCTGAGGCTACGCACATTTAAATGACCGATATTGATGTTATGATTAGTATGATGACTGGGTAGAGATATTGGTGGTGGAGGATGTGATCTGGGGGTGAACAGTGGTGCGAGTGGATTTAGAGGAGACATGTTTACAGATTGGAACCGTGGGCGACTCGATCAGTCTCCCAATACCACTTCCGCACAGTGAAATCCTCGGGCCAGAACTCCTTGTCCAACACTTTCGCCGTGTACGTTTCAGGGACCACCAGGTGTGCGTACGAAAGTCCGAAGTACTTTGTTGCGGAAATGGAGCACTTGATAACTTCCACTTGCTTCTTCTGACACCATTTCGCGATAGCGTCAGCTGAGCAGCTGGGATCAATGTTTCCCACATGGATTGCACTGCATTTCACACGGCGACCTGCAACGAGACGGTCAGACGTGCCAGAGGGTTGTTTGGGCGGCTTGTGGTAATATGATACCACTCTGGTTTTCTGTGGGACTGGCTGGGCTGGGTTAGGGCTTGTACGACGTGGGTGTACACTAGCAGAGGTAGAGCTAGAGGGGGGTCCGGAAGATTGCAGGGTAGCAGCATAGGATTGCGCACCATAGCCCGTGCTTGTCCCCGTTTCATCAAGTGACGTATGTGCATGTGTTTGACCTTTTGCAAGGTGCGTGCCTCCCGTAGCATGCAAGGCAGCCTCAGCTCCAGCTCCCCGCTTTTTAGGACGGCTAGCTCGGTCTGTACGGCAACAAGATCAACTCTCAACTCCCGTACGTTCTTTTTCAAGATGGTCATCATGGTCAGGGAGTAGTACAATACCATATATATACTACTCCCTGATCATGGTCATCACATGACTGCTAGTACCGGTATAGTAGTGAACAGGGAGTCGTAAAATACCTTTACGACTCCCTGGTAGTGAACAAAGAATTAAAAAAACCGTGTGGCATACACACACTGTTACGGTACTACCAAAAGTCCCCCCCCCCCCCCCCCCTGGGGGTTTACTGGTATAATCTTGGTAGTACGAGTCGACTCTACGAGTAGATGATCTACGAGCGCGTCGAGTCGTGCTTGTCGTGAGTCGTGGGTCCGGCTTCATTTTCAAGGCGAATTTGAGTTTTCGATGCCGAGCCGTTGCAAGACGGAACTGAGGCAGGTGAAAGAGAACACCTCTTCACCAAGAACCGGAGTGTCCAGAAGCGATTGAGTTGAGCGGGAAGACGACTTTTGTCGTTTTGCCGGAATTCGGTGAGCGAGCCCTGATGACGTAATCAGTGAATAGCTTGCCAACGAAGCACCAGCGCACATTATGTTCTTCAAGTTTTGAGTTGCAATCGAAGAGGAAGCTATTCGCAATGTTCTCTCAACGTCGTGCACCTTCCCTGAAGGTCCTCCCGGAGAGACTTTTTTTATCTCCAGCAAAACGTTGCTGACCTACACTCCGGACGATGCAACGCCGCGTGCTGGTGCAGAATGCTGAACCTGGTGACGATAGAGAGGGAGGTTGGTAGCCGCTGTTGCAGGGAGTGTGAAGCTGCTGGGAGTATCAACGAGGAACTCGTTTGCATTACCTGAGCACCTGGACGTCAAAGCTGCTTGACTGATTATCCGGGGAGGGGGGGGGGGGGGGTTACGTGTATCTCCCACAGTTTCTGGTCGTGTCTGTGTCTGTTTTGCCAACTTCTGCCCCTTGCGCCCCCCCCCCCCCCAGAATACGGAAGGTCTGTGTCTGGACTGTCCGACATGACCCCACATGCTTCATGCCGAGAGTAGTCAGAGTGCGTGATAATCACGGCTGCATTCTCTTTCTTACGGACCGTCTGGAAAGCCGCGGTACATTTCGAACAGTTGCCAGTCAAAAAAAGAGGTGGCGTAAAGCCAAATAACACAGCTGAAAAATATATACCCGTCTGTCTGCACCTTTAATGTACCCGTAGATCTCCGATGTCCTCACCATTAAAGCCATGGCGGTATATTCGATTATGAAGCCAGTCTCAGTTGTAAAGCCATGCCTTCCAACTTCCAGCCCAGCAGAAAGGGTGAACACGTGGATTTTATTTTATTTATTTTATTTTATGAAAGTGCACATGCCTACATAGAATGGAAGAGGACAACATCAACAACAACAACAACAACAACAACAACAACAACATCAAGAGAACACAGGGGACTACAAAGGGCGTGTAGGTGCTATTGAGCTGTGCCGGTGAAGTGAAGTGCGCTCCCCCGACCAATGGTCTTGGGATCAAGGCGCACATCACGCACCATGGGGGAAAGGGAGAGAAGAAATACTGTGTGTGAAGAGTGAGAACCTGAGAGCAAGACAATGATGGAGAGAGAGAGAGAGAGAGAGAGAGAGGGAGAGAGAGAGAGAGAGAGAGAGCGAGAGAGAGAGAGAGATAGAGATAGAGAGAGAGAGAGAGAGAGAGAGAGGAAGAGATGGGGGGGGGGGGAGTGAGGATGTAGATTGAAATTTCAGTATGTATTTGACTTTTACAGCATAGCGTAGTGGGCGAGTCATTTTGCATCTAAAATAGCTAAGAAAGCAGCGGAGTTTCGAATAACTATAAGGCCATGGCTGTAAAGGCGCTGACATACAGTTATTATTTAATATTTTAAAATGAATAAGTTGCGTGTTTATGTACATGTACCAGTGCAGTGTGTACAGGGCAGGTTAAGAACCACCTTTTCACTTCCATTGGATCTAGGGAATAAAAACAGTGTATAAAAACTCGGATGTTGAGCCAATAGTAATCATGGTAATATGGAAAGAGAAAAGGACCTATAACTTCCTACTAGTTATGGCTAACAGTGGCTATGGCTATTATCTCGTTACCTTGGTGGACTAAGGGAGGAGTGTGTTGCTCCCTTTTCGGGAGCTCGGGGTTTTTCTGCCGACTTGAATTCTCATTTGACTGTAAGCCATGATTTGTAACTTAAAGGTCCCTTTCTCTTTCCAAAACATGAATATTAGCCATTCGAAGAAGGCAAGAATAGAAATCATGTAGTGGCACCTCTGACCAGAAGATCCATGGAATGGAGAACGTTAGACCGATAAAAACACCTGTTCTAGGTGCAGAGGCATCACAAAATTAAGGACCGCTAATATGACAAGGAGGGAATGCTAACACCCGCACACACACACACACACACACACACACACACACACACACACACACACACACAAACACAATGTACCATGCACACACAAACGCACACACACACACTTGTACTTGTTGCTCACTGCCAAACTGGTCACGTGGGTCTCCCCGGAAGAGGGGAGAGAGACTCAAAAGGAATCTTGGAAAGATGACTCAACTGGCTATTGAACCGACCAATGGCCGACACCCCCTGAAATCCCCAAAACTCTGGGTGGACTTGAAAATGATCCCACTTATGGGCTCGCCACACCTCAGTAAGTGGGTGAGGACAAGGTGCAGAAAAAGAATTGACGGCATCAGGGTATCCGTCCCCCCCCCCCCCCACACACACCCACCATGTACCATGCACACACACACACACATACCATTGGACGACCATCGCCGGAGGAGATGATAGCGATGCTACAGCAGAAGCCATAGCGCTTGTGCTGGGATTGCACCATTCAACAGGTTGCAAGGCTGAAGAATTGACCGGCACTATTCAGCCTGGTCTACACCACACAGCTATGAAGTGGCTTTTTCTGGCCAGTGAATCCCTACTTTTTGGTCTTTCATTTTTTTTCTTTTTTTCACACACACACACACATCACACCACATACTCCGGTATGCACTGGCTGTTGGTAACCACCCAGGAGAATGAAAGAAAAGTCAGGAGGAGTCTGAGAAAGAGAAGAAAGACGTGTGTGACCATAATCATCGGGAATCGAACCCGCAACCTATCGATTGCAAATCGATGCACATACACACACACACACAAACACACACACACAATCGCACACAATCACACACACCAGTCGCGTGCGCCGGTGCCCTTCAAGGGGGGGGGGGGTTCGGGGGCCTCCCCCGGGAAAATGTTCAAAAAATGAAGCAAAACCCTGCATTTTGAGCGAAAAATGGGGGGTTCCGGGCACCCAAGAACCCATACGGGGCACGCGCCTGCACACAACAATCGCACACACACCCACACACACACACGCACACACACACACACACACACAGAAAGAGGGCGCGGGAAAAGAAGCAACATTGGAATTGTTGGCAATGGCAACGGGGGAGGGGGGGGGGGAATAGGCGGCCAATCATCATCCGTCTCCTCAAACATCTATATCGATTTGAACACTACCTGTTGGACTAGAGAACTCGAGAAGACTAGGGCTGGGTGAGACGAGAAGATCTGGACAAGCAGCTTGGTGATGCAATTCCGACTGTTCAGGTTCAAGTGGAGTTTGACTGTGTTGCGATGGCGGATGAGCTGGCCGCGGGGGAGGTTGATTAGGTCGTGATGGAGGCTGGGTCGGTCGTGATGGAGGTTGAGCAGGTCGTGATGGAGGCTGATTGGGTCGTGATGGAGGCTGTGTTGGTTGAGCTGTGGGCTGCTGCGGATCAGATGGAGATTGATTATGACCAAAATGTCTCTTACAATAATGGACAATAGTGCCTGTAGTGTTTAAGAGAAACTCAATTGCCAACTCAGGCCCTGATACTTGTCGAGGTTCTATCGTGCCGGGCAAGTTAGCTTGAATGCAGACATCGGACACCACAGTTTGATTGGCCGCATCGTCAGATGTAACACTCGCGCGCTGCACGGCTCCTGAAACATTGAGAAAAGGATGAGATGAAGAGCGGCGCGGAGTAGACTGAACGGCGGCTCTGCGCTTCAGAACGGCAGTGGTGATGGCGGCGCAAAGCAACATTGCCAACAGGAGTCCAATAACTAGACCAGCAACACCTCCGGCTGACAAGGCACCTGCTCCTGATACGGGACCGCTGTTGATATCGGAGTTCTTGTCAAAGTGTTGGCAGTGCGCTCCAGACCAGCCAGGGTCACATTGACAGCCATTCTCGGGAGTACACACTCTATGCTCAGCATCTCTTGGTGTTGTGGAGTTATCTGTGACTTTATCTTCAATGCGTGTTGGCATTATAGCAGCGGTGTGAGTGACTTCATCTTCAGGACTTGTTGGCATTATAGCAGTGGTGTGAGTGACTTTATCTTCAGGACTTGTTGACATTATAGCAGTGGTGTGAGTGACTTTATCTTCAGGACTTGTTGGCATGGCGACAGTACTAGGAATGGCAACTTGCTTGCCGGAGTACTGGCAGTTGTTTCCATGCCAACCTACAGCACAACGACACACGTTGTCAAAAGTACAGGTGCCGTGTCCCGAACAACCAGCACCATTGGTCTTGGGGCATTGCCAGAGAGCTGATGCGTTCACACACGACCCATTCCAGCAGACAAGACCGGGTCCACAGGGGCTCGCATCGTCAACGTAAAATTGATCATAGAGAGGCAAAGGCCTCAAGTCATACCTAATAGCCCGATAGCATGAGGTATTTTGAGGATATGGCGCAGCACACCACAGAACTCCGCAGCCAATATCCTTTGGCTTACAGGGAAAATACTTCCGCGTACCTGTGCTGTCGTCATAATGACAATGCCCATGCTCTTCACCATGTCTATTGAACACGTTGCAGTGGTCTGATCTGGATGTATTTCTTTTCACAATGGTCTTGCACGACTTCTCTACATTTCTACAAGAACCATCATAGCAAGCGCCGGGTTCTTCCGCTGCGATGCATGGCACTCCAGCCTGCTTTAAGTCATCTTTCGGACAATCGGCATTCGTACCGTCACAGAAGTCAGGCAGGTCACAGAAATCTTTTGCTGGTCGGCAGAGCGTGCCGGCCTTCAGCAAAGTACAATTACGCGCACAGCATGCATGGGCAGAACTACACTGGAGTTTGCCCAGTCTGTAAGAGATCTTGAAACGACACGTTCTGGCAACGCAGCAGTAATCCTTGCAGAACTTCTGTTGGCCACAGTCACACTCCTCGCCTCTCTCCACAACGCCGTTGCCACACACAGGTGTAGATAACGCCGGTTCAGGCTTGTTCAGCAAGCACCTGAGCCGCCAGCCCTGAGCATGCAACCATTCCAGTCTGGCCTTTGTGCAATCGCTCCAATTACCGCCACCATTTGGCGCCATGATATGACCGAAGGGGCACACTTCGGCGTTGCATTTACAAGAATGCGCAACATGCTTGAAACCAATGTTATGTCCAATTTCATGAATAAAGACATATGGTCTGATTCGCCACGAAGTCTCTCTGTTACTGTCTATCCCAAGTGACCACGGCGTGTTCGGACATACTGAAGATAAGGATGCATAGCCTTCAGACTTCTTCCACCCAGTGCTGGTGAACAAATGAACAGCATTGTAATGTGCTAGATGCTTCAAGGTATACTGGTTGAAGTGCCTAAGTGCATTCCACATATCGTCGTCAGTGTGATCATCAGGCAGGAAGAAAGGGGCGCCGGGCGCTTGATATATGAACACTGCACTAAGGACAATGCGGATATTAAGTCTCTGGAACACATAATCAGCCACGCTTACAAGCAGTAGTATTTCCTCAACTAGTTTACCAGTACCCCTGTCCAGATAACCCCGTGCCTTGGTAAATGAGTAATCAGAAAGCACAGCAAGTTCCACATACAATGTTGGATCTCGTCCTCCTCCTGTACTGCTACTCCTCTTCACACGTTTGCGTGTTGCTGAAGCTAAACCAGCCAACCCGTCATCAGGAAAATCCCACCGCTGCTTCTCACCTGCAGTTTCTCTGCTGGTGTTCTTTGTAGCCGATATATTCCAGTGTGTCGCACACCCTCCTTTCAACGGATCGTCTCTGCTCATCTTGTATGTGGATTCTTTGAAGACGGCGTGTGGATACGTACCAGGTTTAGATGTCTGGCTGACCAGTGGTTCAATCATATATCTTTCGGAGTACGCTTTACCTTGCTCATTGCCACTGCTGCTAGCTGTGGCTGGATCCTCATCTCCATTGCCAGCATACTGTTCAAAACCAAATGATCCACTCAAACCATTGCATGTGCTCACAGCGGCGTATGTAGATATCACAGTGGCGCTGCTCTCTTCATTGGCATCAGTACTACTTTGCTGCCGTTTCCTGTGTTTGTGAAGGGTGGACTGAGCATGACTGATGTTCTGCAAGCCACGCACTGTCCCATGGTAATAACAGTTGACTGCTCCACGAGTAATCACAGGACTCTCATCGATTGAATTGAATGTGAAGACTTTAAACGAAGCAGGAATCAGCTCAGTATTCTGCTTCAGATCTAATGTCACCGTCTTTCCAAATGCCCGTATTTGGAAGCTACTGGTTGGCGGATGGTGTACATGTACATGCTCACTGCTAGACTGATCATCATGTTGTCCTTGTGCTGTGGCATCTCTCTTGCCACGATTGCTGACATGCTCAACATCACTAAGGTGTTGTGTCATGTCGATATGCACTACTTCATACTCATCCGTCATCTTGCTGATACGTTCTCGAGCCTCGACAGTTATATCAACATGATCATGAGTGTTTCCGGTGCTGTATACGGTTTGAGAAGTGTCCTCCGCTCCAGGTGTTTGAGAAGTGTCCTCTCCTGCAGGTGTTTGAGAAGTATCCTCTCCTGCAGGTGTTTGAGTAGTACTAATGCTGCTGCTGCTGCTATCCGCATGGACATGAACACAGGTCCGAGTAAGCAGAATTGTGAGCATGATGATTCCAAGATGCGGAGCAATGCTCGAAAGTGGCTTTGGCTGACTGGGTACTGCCGCCATTGCCAACTGGCCGAGTCTGTTTAGAGTAATATCAAGAGTACATAAACCATATAGACTGCGGGGACCTCAAATGGAAAAATCTACCAACCCAACACTTTAGTACAACCAAGAGTACATAACCCCCGGGGGTTATGTACTCTTGACTGTACCCAGTAGATCTACTCGCAGCGCGCAGATCGCGCAGCTAGCTCAGAGCGTTGTGGATATGTGGGCGCGGGCTTTTCTGTTTTGTCGTAGTAAAAACTGCATTTTCTACTCAATGGACGTTGTACTCAACTCAAGGGACGTTGCATGTACCGGTAGTCCCAAGACTGGCAAGAGTACATAACCCCCTGTACTCTTGCCGTCTTGGTACTACTATACTACAGTGGTCCCTCTATAATCCGGCACCATTTGTGCCACGAAAATCTGCTGGATTAGGGAGGGTGCTGGATTAACAAATCTGATCTACTGCTGCAATGTGCATGAAGAAGACATTTGGCTACTGAAAATTGTGCCGGTTTATCGAGGGTGCTGGATTATAAAGTGCCGGATTAGAGAGGGACGACTGTACTACCAAGGCAAGAGTACGTAACCCCCAGCCCAGGGCCCAGGGGGTTATGTAAGGCTAAAGCCAGTGGGACAAGCTCAAGCTGCAAGCTTCTCTATTTTTGCGGATTTTCTTTCATAAAAAATAAACGTCACAGGCTGCTCTTCGCAGCTAAGTACAGTACTTCCCACTGAGTTGCAAGCAGGGTTTCTCACAAGTAAATAAAAATAATAGTCATTATTGATTAGCTGGTGTGTTACACACAGTTCACTTCTCTTTGTGTGAGATCTACAGTGTGCTGGAATTCCTTTCTTTCACCCTTCTGCGAGTTCAAAACTTGGCAAAAGAACGCCGGGGTAACTCTGTTCTTCTATAACGCCATTAGTTGATTGCAAGGCTGAAGACGAAGCTGATCACCAGCACTAGTAACGCTTGGAGACTTGTTTTCTTTTTACGATTTGTTTTTGTCAATCGAGAAGTGCTGCTCTCACTCTTTGGCCACTATGGAAGCCCAGTCAGCTGATCATGATGTGCAAGTAAGCATTTTATATATTATAACGGATAAAGTGAACGTGTTTTTTCCTCTTTTGAACACCCTCAACTACCGTATTGAATAATGAATACGGTGAAACTTCAGTATGATGTGCCTTCGAGCGGCAGCAAAGATCTGTATTGCGGAGGCACTGTATACCATGGTGTATCCAAGGGGCAAATGACTGGTACACCTACTACTACTAGCAAGATTACTGTGCTCGCCGAAGAAATGCAACCTCATGAATACAGTAGCCGCGCATTAGAGTGCACAGACCAGTGTGTGTGTGTGTGTAGTGCTAGGGTTGCGTAGTGCCCCCGTTGCTAAATTTTATCCATGAGGTTGGATTTCTGTGGCCGGCGGCACTGTACAAGAAACGCAGAGCGTGCAGCTATCGACTTTTCCCTGCATGGATGTCTGTCACGGGGAAATCCCTGGTTTACATCATACCAGTAGTTGATGCTGCGGAAAGTGGTGTACGGTAGAGGTGCGCGTCCAATAACGTTGTTTCCAAGAGGTTAGCCTGGGACGTTCTTATTTTTCAGCAATCTGGCTGCGTTCTTATAGCACGTCCTTAGAAACAATCCATACTGGATCATATGTATCCCACAAGCTGCCAGAAAACCAACACCGCCGTTCTTAGCTTTAGGCTGTGGCGTTCTTAGAATTTCATGCTGGACGTTCTTCGGCTCCACGCTCTTCAGCGCGCAACTCTACTGTAGTGCGTACAGCTGAGCTGCGGTTGTGCAGAAAGAGATCTGCTTGAATCCAGCTTGTACGCACTACATCACTGAAGTGATTTGAACCCGGAATTTCGCCATGACACCAACCCATCCGAGCTACACACGCGGGGTTTCATTGTACTATTGTTACTAGCAGGGCACGGCTGTTCACGCGCAGGCACTTATAAATATGGCGTCGTTCGGTGCGATTTATGTAACATTGTGCGAATAGTACAAATACGCGATGAGTTTGCGTTTTTGGAAGAAACTCATGTCGATCCTCGCGTGGTTCCACGATTTGGGACGCGAAACCAAGAGAAAAGTTTTGAAAGCGCTCGAGCGAGATACTCGACTTTTCGGCAATTTGAGAGAGAAAGAGGGTGGAAAGGCGTCCTGGCCTGCCCAGTTAGCTGTCTTTCCGCTTCAAACTTGCTCGAACTACTCTTGGCAGTCTGGAGATTGATCTCGCCAGTGATTATCAGCCTCTGCTTGGCGTGCTCGCGTGTACAACATTCAAGTTAGACATTTCGTAATCGTTCAACGCACAATAGGGTAGATATCACAATTTCAAGCTCACTTGGCCGGCTGCTGTCTTCTACAATATCCCACATGCCGACTAAGCAATTTACAGCAGGAAGCAGCCTTCTACACTCAACAGCAACTAAAGGGCCACACCACTTGTCTTCCAAATCAAGAGAAAACAGGCTCCTGACTCGTCGCACGTATTTAGAAGTTCACGCGCGTATTCTAATGACACTTGGGGAAGACAACCAGAGGATAGTCCTCTACCTGGGAAAATATCGATCTAAGCTGGGGAAAAATTGGGAAGGGCTTCTCGGAGCCGAGTTTGTCAGCGACGACACAAGGAGTATTCCAGAATGAAGCCAAAGTCGCACGACACAGAACAAATGTTTCTTGAAGGAAAGGCAGTCATGTGCGGAAAGCTTGAAACAAGACGCAGATGATCAGCGTGTTCCCCGGGCTGACTAGTCTCCAAAATCCAGGGGAAACGTGTTCTGACGATTTGAAAATTCAAATTTTCTTGCCATTGATGCCCAATCGAGACTTTCGGCGGCCATATTGTTAAGTGGCGTGAAATCGCACAAAAAAACAGCCGTAAGGAGTACATACCCCCCAAGAGTGTGTCACTCCCACATACCCTGCTGTCCCAACAGAATTTCAAGTTGACATCATTTTTATGACGTAATGCTCCTTGCACCAGTGATTTACAACATTTGTATGGGATGTCAACGCATCACACGTTTTCTGTGCACTAGGTTGTACAGGATCTAATGGGGCTTTGCCCACCTCAGGTTCGCCCATTGCGTCATAAATATGACGTCAACTTGAAATTCTGTTTGGACAGCAGTCGCAGCACCCATAGTCGAGTTGCACACTCTTGGGGGGGTTACACCGCTGCTTTCCTAGCTATTTTAGATGCAAAGTGACTCATCCACTACGCCATGCCATAAAAGTCAAAGTCCACACAGAAATTTCAATCTAAACCCACTTGTTCACCCTTCCTGCAGGGCTGTAGGTTTGTTATCACAATACTTATTCCTTCATTTTTACAAAACACACTTCAAATGTCATTAGTAATTTTCATTTATGAAGGCCATGGCTTTATAACTGGGACTGGCTTTATAATCGAATATACCTCCATGACTTTGAAGGCGCGGACATACGACAATAATAATAATAGTTCATATACTGAAGTTGCACCACAGCATGCAACCTCGCCAACACGAGAACCCAATACAGGTCTACCCTCGTTGGTAAACAACACTGGGGGATTCAAAAATGTTGTCTTAGAACGAGTAATATCTACTATCCGGACTTGCATCAGGCGCCCGGGGATTTTGGATCGTTGTCTGCTAATGAGGTTTGTCTCGTGACCGATGTCGTACTAACGAGGGTAGGTCTGTACATGCACAGTGCTGTTCAACGAAATCCAGTCGCATCACTCAAGTACGCGCCTGGCGTTGTGCTGCCCCAGTCCTGCGAGCACTGGTCTGAGGAATGATGCAAGACGCAAACTTGAGTGACACGACTGGATTTCATTGAGCGGCACTGCATGTGTTTGACGTGTCAACCGTCTTGCACATACTCCATGCAGACTCCTAGTACTTGCGCGGCGGCAAACCTGATCAAGTCGCCCCGTGGATGCTCAAAGGGTTAAGGGTTTCTGCCTGAGTGTATGAACGCGATGAATAAAACAATTTCACTGTTTAACAACAGTACATGGCCGTAAAACCGGGATACCAGGTGGTCCAGCCGGATTGGATACTTGATCGGATATGAACAATAGAGAGGTTCCGCATAACGTAATTATGTTTTAGTAAAAACCGTAGTCGATCTACGGAAAAGTCTTACGTAAACTGCATGCGAACCTGTGTTTCGCCATACGCGGTTTTCACGTAGCTGCCCTTGGTAACTTCGAACGCGGCACTGTACGACCGAATCGACCTGGGGAGAGAGTCATAAATTTGTACCCCAATCCACTTCCGGAGCACGTACGTTATCAGAGCCGTATCTACGTACTCTACGTAGACAACTTTCCGTAAGCGGAGTGCAAACTCGCGAATTCACGGGTTTTTCCCACCAACTAACGTAAAGTTGCTCAACTTTACATAGTGCGGAACCTCTCTATTATTGTCGGAAGAACCTCGTTTGCACTATCTGGGTGGGTAGAATTTTTGAAATAAGGTCCGGCCATACCGGATCGGGTGCTACAGGCCTGCAGGAGGTAATTGCAGTCCGGCTAAGCAAGTGCATGTAGTGCAGCCAACATGCACACTGTACATATCCTCAGCTTGTTTGCTTGTATCCGCCCAATACTACTCACCCATGCATGGTGCATGATTGTACATCCGGGTTTTTTTGTACAATGCAATCATCAGGCGCATTTTGTGCCTTTTGGTGTAATACCGTAAAAGCCCGTGTATAGGCCCGGGCGTATAGAATAGCAGCCTCGATTTCCTGGGCGTATACAAGGGCACGGGCGTTATTTTGGAACTGGGCGTATACTTGGAATATGGATAGCAGTAAGTATTGGGTATCAGTACCTGTACATGTACTGGTGTTGCCGGCATACCTGGGCGTACACATGGGCATGGGCGCTATTTTGAAACAAAAGTGTTGACTTCCCCTGACTAGGCGTGTACACGGAGGGTGGGTGTAATTTCGAGTGGGCGTATACAGGGGCTTTTACGGTAGTGCTCCACATTATTGTGTTGAACCCTCTTTGTATCTACCTCTCTATTTATCCATTCATCTCTCTCTCTCTCTCTCTCTCTCTCTCTCTCTCTCTCTCTCTCTCTCTCTCTCTCTCTCTCTCTCTCTCTCTCTCTCTCTCTCTCTCTCTCTCTCTCTCTCTCTCTCTCTCTCTCTCTGTCCATCCGTCCGTATGTCTGTCTGTCTGTCTGTCCATCCGTCCGTCTATCTATCCATCAATCAATCTATCTATCTATCTTCTCCTAGGTTTCTGTTCTACTGTTTGCCAAGGCACGTGAGCTGTGTGGAGGTGTATCAACTCATGCCGTACACCTGCCAGCATCTACTACCTTTAAACATCTCAAATCTCTGCTTCTCACCAAATTTCCACAGTAAGCACATTGAATTGAACGTGTGGCATTGTGTCCTCGTGGAGAATCGCCTAGGAATTGCTCCGAAAATGCAGACTGGCACTGCGAAAGTGGGGTGAAATCGAGGAAGTTGTGGCAAACGTTTGGCAAATGGCGGTGAAACGCGACACATTGTGGCTCTGGGCGCACAGGAGATTACACTGATTGCCGTATTGCTACACATCGCAAACCAAGTTTTCATACTTTGAGCGAGCGAACTCTACCCATGTGTACGTGGTGTATGTACAGCCACTGCAGGCTGCTGTACATGGAGCCCTGTGTATATACAGCCACTGCAGGCTGCTGTACATGGAGCCCTGTGTATATACAGCCACTGCAGGCTGCTGTACATGGAGCCCTGTGTATATACAGCCACTGCAGGCTGCTGTACATGGAGCCCTGTGTATATACAGCCACTGCAGGCTGCTGTACATGGAGCCCTGTGTATATACAGCCACTGCAGGCTGCTGTACATGGAGCCCTGTGTATATACAGCCACTGCAGGCTGCTGTACATGGAGCCCTGTGTATATACAGCCACTGCAGGCTGCTGTACATGGAGCCCTGTGTATATACAGCCACTGCAGGCTGCTGTACATGGAGCCCTGTGTATATACAGCCACTGCAGGCTGCTGTACATGGAGCCCTGTGTATATACAGCCACTGCAGGCTGCTGTACATGGAGCCCTGTGTATATACAGCCACTGCAGGCTGCTGTACATGGAGCCCTGTGTATATACAGCCACTGCAGGCTGCTGTACATGGAGCCCTGTGTATATACAGCCACTGCAGGCTGCTGTACATGGAGCCCTGTGTATATACAGCCACTGCAGGCTGCTGTACATGGAGCCCTGTGTATATACAGCCACTGCAGGCTGCTGTACATGGAGCCCTGTGTATATACAGCCACTGCAGGCTGCTGTACATGGAGCCCTGTGTATATACAGCCACTGCAGGCTGCAGTACATGGAGCCCTGTGTATATACAGCCACTGCAGGCTGCTGTACATGGAGCCCTGTGTATATACAGCCACTGCAGGCTGCTGTACATGGAGCCCTGTGTATATACAGCCACTGCAGGCTGCTGTACATGGAGCCCTGTGTATATACAGCCACTGCAGGCTGCTGTACATGGAGCCCTGTGTATATACAGCCACTGCAGGCTGCTGTACATGGAGCCCTGTGTATATACAGCCACTGCAGGCTGCTGTACATGGAGCCCTGTGTATATACAGCCACTGCAGGCTGCTGTACATGGAGCCCTGTGTATATACAGCCACTGCAAGCTGCTGTACATGGAGCCCTGTGCATGTTCAGTCGCGGCCAGGCGTGCATGGACTGGTGACATTTTCTCGTGCCTCACACCAGGCTGGCAGCATTGTAGTGATGCAGGGGAGGGGGCTCCTTGCTGCACACTTCCAGACTGTCTAAACCGCACTTGTACGTGCCGGTAGTTGTAGACTGCTAGTACAGCTACTTTCAGTGACCCCGGCGCTGGATTTCCGAGAATATTGTGGTGTTCTTGTCTAAACCCTTTTTTACGAGGCATGTAAAAAACGTCGCGTATTCGTGCGGTCATGGGATTGTGGCCTTCCACAGCGCCAGCATGTTTCCTCTAGACCGGCCTGGTTCCTAATACTGTAAAACATGTAATTTTAGGTGCATTAAAATTTCGGTGCCAGGAATGTGCCAGGTTTTAGGTGCAATGTAGAATTAGGTGACCAGCGTTCACATACAGTCAGGGCTCACCACGACCATACAAAATTCAAAAAGCGTCGACCACCATTTTGAAAACTGGCGATTGCCGCACAGGCCAGCGTTGGTGCAGTCATAGCGGCTACGCACCCGAGTTCGTGCTGATCAATGTACAGCGATGTACAGTAGAGTTGTAAAATACCAGTATTTTACGTCTCCCTGGTCTAGTCTGTACAGCGAAGGGCGAGTGCCGAAGAGAATCTTGTTGTTTGATGCCGGGAAAGACACGAGGAGAAGACGTCCTTGGTCATTTTTCACAATGCGCTGGTGCATGCCGACCAAGATAATATTATGTCCGTGAGATACTGGTGAACTGGAGTCCTGGCATCTACACGATGTTGCCGCTCCTAGCTAACCAATGTTGTCAGTAGAACTCAGCGTTTCCTGATCACAGCTCGGCAAACTCTTTTCTGTTTGACCTCGCAGCTTTCACCCTTCGAGTGTGGAATTTCCTGGCCACAATTGAATTCCTTAGTCATGACTATGATGACAAGTGACTGGTATGATCCCTGACTGGCCCGAGTCCTTGGCTTGAGTCAACATGAAGGTAAACTCTTCACTTGGAACGCTTGCTGTCTCCTCGGTCTTTCTTGTTGCACTTGCAGATATGCGCACGGCTGCCAGGTTTTGTTGGTGCGGGCGGGAACGCGCGGCCGACCTTGATGTCTTCAAAAAAGTACTTCAGCGGTTCTACTTGGCCGATTCTCACCGTCGATAGCTCGTTTTCAAGGTCTTGGAATTCTCTATCGGTTTACCGTCTCCGATTTTTATATTTTGTCTTCATTCACTTGTTCGCACGTCTTCGAGTTTGAGTGATTTCACCATCCGATCTCAGCCAAACGAAGGCCAAATCGAAAAATTCGAGACGGTAACCCTCCAAAGACACACCTTCTGAACACGAATCCACAATGGCCTAATGTCTAAAACCAACGAGTACAGCCAAGTTCAGCTCAGAAAACACCCCACAATTGCAAGAAACGGCCCATTTTGCCGTGCGCTGATTGGTCAAATCCAAATGACCGTTATTGACGCTTTGTATGGTCGTGGTGAGCCCTGACAGTGCATACTCTAGTGCCTTTAGGTGTACAGTAAAACCTGTAACTAAAGACCACCGTGACTAGCGACCAGCCTGGTACTACAGTAAAACCTGTAACTAAAGACCACCGTGACTAGCGACCAGCCTGGTACTACAGACCACCGTGACTAGCGACCAGCCTGCTACTACAGACCACCGTGACTAGCGACCAGCCTGGTACTACAGACCACCGTGACTAGCGACCAGCCTGGTACTACAGTAAAACCTGTAACTAAAGACCACCGTGACTAGCGACCAGCCTGGTACTACAGTAAAACCTGTAACTAAAGACCACCGTGACTAGCGACCAGCCTGGTACTACCGACCACTTGGCCAGGCACGGACGGTCTCACATTCAAAATGCACTGTGACTAGCGACTACCTGCTGAACGCGACCAGCGACCGCCTTTTCTTGTCCCAAAGACGATTTTTGACACGTAACTAGCGACCGCGATGTAGGAAATCGAATGTTGCTCGAAGCTCCTTCTTGAAATTTTGCTGATTTTCCATGATCCTGAAAGGAATCTTTCGGTACAGTACTACAGCTGAACAAATGAACGCAGGCCATTTTGACTGTGGAGTCGGTGTGGACTGCACTACACCTGTCAGAATTTCAAGTGCTGTCAAGAATAAACATGATCGGAAACGTCTTGGAGAGCGCATCGAAAGCGCTCTCTGCTCGATGTTACTACTCGGAGGAGAAACAAAGACTGAGCGGCTCTGTCACCCCGGTCATACAAATGAATCGACGATGGCGTCAAGGAATCCAGGAACAAAGCAGCACCGCAAGGTCCTGATGCTGAAGGATAGTCGGTACGATTGATCACATGAACAAATTTGAAGCTCAGCGCAAAACGAAACTTCCACAGGGAACATTTTGACTCCTGGCTTCAGAAGTAGCAGCTGAATTTGATATCTGCAAAAAAATTAATCTTCTCTCTCTCTCTCTCTCTCTCTCTCTCTCTCTCTCTCTCTCTCTCTCTCTCTCTCTCTCTCTCTCTCTCTCTCTCTCTCTCTCTCTCTCTCTCTTGTTGTCTCTCTCCATGTGTCCGTCTTTCTCTCCAAGTGTTGTTCGACCTGAAATAAGAATGGCATTGCGCAAGTCCTGGGGAATTGTATTAGCTGCATTTTGATATACATATCATATAATGGGATCCATATAATTGAGCCAGAGCACGCTAAAATATGACCACAGACCGAAAATTCGATTTTCAGTTTTTTGTTCAAAAATGATCTAACACACCTAATATTCACTGTCTGAAAGTTTTGGATTGATTGGACATCTCTAAGTGTGGCTACAATGGTATTATATGCAGCACTGTTGAAATGGTGAAATTCTATGTACAGCAATGGGATTGTCATTTTTGCACACAATTGATATGCCCCTTGGTTCATCCTTTCCGGGTCAGTTCCTCTGTCCAGGGTCTTATAGCATGAGCTAACAGGTACTCAGCCACATCCAAAATACCAAATTGTCTATAGTCAGCTGAGCTGGGTGTCCGAAATACCTCCTGTTTGGAGCACCACTGGAGAACCGCCAGCGAAAACACGGTCAACATCTGTAGATGGCCGAAGAAGTTGGCACTCCATGTCCTCTCCATCACACTCCACCTGTACGTTTAGATATACAGTATACACTGCTGCACACAGTTTTCCTCGGCATACTAGACGTCGCACTCATATTCCCCACACCAAAGCCCATCTGCACACGGTTTTCTCTGCTCGCCAGAGAGTACTGCTTTCGCTGCATACTGCTCATGCTAGCGATGTTCCGCATAAGGGTACTCAAATTATCGACTTGAGCAAGTTGAGGGAGCAGCAGAGTCCATTGATTGTTTTTGCACTTGCAACCAATACTGGCATTGTCCCGGATATGTGCAGCGATGTCCATTCTGGCCAAATCATCGGCCGACTCACCTCCCAAGTCAGTGTCGATGCCAATCGCTTGCCAGGTTGTCATCAGAGTAGAATTCCTCGTCACTGCAGATCGTGGGACTACCAGCATCAATTATTTTTACGCTCGATGAAAGTGTCGCCCTCAAATGACTCGTCGCTGTAGCCATCATCGTCTTCCTTCTGTTTCCGACCCGAATCCTCAAAATATTTTATCCTGCGCATGGAGTGCGATAATGTCGTCTTCTTCCGCTCCGCAGTACATTACTACTACTAGGCTCTTCTGTCGATACATCGATTACGATCAGTTTTAGGCGACTCAGCGCAACATGGAATACAAACTCAAACAAATAAACTTACTTGCAACAAAGAATTGCATCCGGAACAGTCCAGTCGACCGAGGAGAACAACAACAGCGACTCGCGTTGCACTGCACTTTGTATTTTTTGCCGCGGAATTCAAATCGCGATTATCTCGACTTTTTCAAAAAAAGCTGTGGTCATGTTTTAGCGCGCTCGGGCTCATATGGTCGCACGGTGCAAACCTCTAACTAAAGACCACCTGCTACTAAAGACCGCTTTTGCTGGCACCAAGGAGTGGTCGGTAGTTACAGGTTTTACTGTATTTTAAATTTAGGTGCCTGGTTTCTCTACCGAAATCACCAAAATTAAAGTTACGCCGAAAACTACATGTTTTACAGTACGCTGCATGTATCATGCTCTCTCTCTCTCTCTCTCTCTCTCTCTCTCTCTCTCTCTCTCTCTCTCTCTCTCTCTCTCTCTCTCTCTCTCTCTCTCTCTCTCTCTCTCTCTCTCTCTCTCTCTCTCTCTCTCTCTCTCCTGTCTCTCTCTCTCTCCTCTCTCTCTCTCTCTCTCTCACACACACACACGCACGCACGCACACGCATGCACACACGCACACACACACACACACACACACACACACACACACACACACACACGTGCGTGTGTGTCCGTGTGTCTGTGCGTGTTCTTTTACTAATAGCCCTAGTCTGCTGTTTTTTGTTTGATTTACTCTGGAACTAAGTACTTTGTGTTTGTGCACACGTGTCACTCTCTTTTCTCCTGCTGTTCTTCCCTCTGCTGTTCGGTTGGTGACATTATTGCCCTGGCAGGCTAACCTCTATCATGGCGACGTGTGTATTGGCTCTAAATGCCGAGTATCTTTCACAAGACGACGGTGATAGCGAAGAGAGCGACCAGGCCGCTGTGGATGACATCATTCACTTGCGGACAGGCGATGAGCTGGCGGTGATACCGCCTATAAGCGGAGGCTAGCTACACGCACACACGGCGGTGGCTGTTGCGGCTCTCAGGCCGGCATTGATTTGCACACTGCTACCTACCACTGAGTGTAAGTTGGCAGCTTGTTCACTGCTCTTGTCTTTGTATCCTGGACCACACACCATGCTGGTTTACAACCGTCTGGCTGCGGCTTGCTTTGGTGCAAGTTAGAAATGAGACTGAAACACACATCCAGAGTGGTCTTCGAAACACTCTACCCATCTAAGGGGTCGTCCGTATTTTTCGAAAAATTAAAAAATCCGTCCTCAGGCAAAAAGAGGGTGGGTGGTCTAGAGTGCGGGCGGAATTTAATTTTTTGATTTTTCGTACCTTTTTGTTTTGTTTTTTTTTGTTTTGTTTTGTTTGTTGCTCCAGTGACTTTCATACACTTGTACTTGTTGCACTGATATAGGTATAGCTGACTGTGCACTGTACTGTAGACGTAGTGTAGGATTGATTGTCGCAAACACCAGTATCTACTATGATACATGACGTTTCATGTAGATTGTAGTTGTAGGACGGTGCATGGCCGTGACGTCGGTAGACCTACTACTCACTGTACTTAGCTACTAGTAGTAGTACCAAGAGTATATAACCCCCCAAGAGTGTGCAACTCTGCATGTGGGGTCTCCGACGGCGAAAACTCACATCACGTGTCTCAGATACCTTTGTACTACGTACAAACGTAGGATAGCGTGCGCGCAATCCCAAAATCTGCCGTGATCATGCTGGGGATTTGCATACGTGCAGTGAGTTTCTGTCGGAGAGTGCTTTTTTTAGTACTCCACTGCTCGCTAAAAACGGGCTGGAAACGTACAACTGCGACACTGCACCACGTAATGTGAGTTTTCGCCGTCGGCGTACCCCATAGAAAGGGTATCAGGAGTTGCACACTCTTGGGGGGGGGGGGGGGGGGGGGGTATATACTCTTGCTAGTACTTGACACAGGTGCAGTCAGAAAACATGGGGTCGGGAGTTTTTATTTTCGAGCCGGGCATCGGTAAAAATCAAAAAAATTGATGGGAAAAAAATGGGGGGTGGGTGGGTGGGTCAGAGACAATTTTGCACGAGGACGGATTTTTAATTTTTCGAAAATTACGGACGACCCCTAATATAGATTATATTGTCTGATTGTTAGTTTTTATAGGATTGGGATAATTATTCTAGTCTCCTGAGTGGTATATTTTCTGCTGTCGTGTGTTTCTGCTGAACTCAGCCTATGGTACCTCAACTCTGCCCAGTGTGTTGCATCAGGGTGCAGCAGCGCGACTACTTACTGAATCTATTTTACGTCTATCACTAGATCACACACAAGGCTATCTCTCCATTCTGGCCGGATGTGCGCTTCTCCTGGAGAAGAAACAGTGTTGCTTCTGTCTATTCTGCTGATGCCAGAATGCGAGATCTACCCCCCCCCCCCCCAGAGAACTACAGAGGGAGTTCATACATGCTGCCATCTCTCAGTGTGCCGGCAGCAATCGCTTCCTTGCAGCTATGCCCAGGTGAAGCAACACCCTGCAGTGATGTTGCCCAGACGACTACTGGATTTCTAGAAGAGCAGCACGTGTTGTTGCCCAGGTAACTGGGTTTCTAGACGAGCAGCAAGTGCCGTGGCGGCGGTGGCTCTCCACTGGCACCTGCCACTATAGCGCTCTCTTCGCCTGAAAGTGCCGTGGTGAATTCTTCTTGCCACGTACTTTCTACACGCGCTGATTCTGCCGTTGTTCTTACCTTGCTCTCAGTTGTACATGTACAGTTGTGGCAAGTGAAATCCGACGCTTGGCATAAGGGACTGCACCGTGCATCCTGCAGCCCCGCATACGTACAGTACATGTGTTGCATACAACTTTATCTGTCTGATGACAGAATTCGTACTCATCACCGTCAAGGTTCACAGTCAAGGTTCAAAAGGTGCTGGCAAAAATGAATGGAGATCGGATACCAATACTCCTTATGTGTACCATGTTTGTGAACTGTGTGTATCTACACTGTGACCTTTCGATCTGTTTCTGATGCATACGGCTCTATAGTACAAATTAGGTGCAGTGTATTATATCATTGATGTCCATTTGAGGCGCTGTCCCCTATTGCAAGTTTTGGATTTCACTTGCCACAACTCTAGTTACATGTACATGTATCATCTTGAACGAGCAGCGAGTCTCTTGTAGTTAACGGTACAATATAATTATTATGAAGTTGATTGTTCCAACTAGGAACGCACGCTTCTTGCCGAACTTGACTGACTCACGACTGCCATCCGGGGCACACGAGGAGCACGTCGCACCTTCCACTCGGCAAACCTGCAAGAAAGCACCACTCCCTGCTCAATACTTCTAAGTTCGTATTGTTGTCCCTCACGCGGACGTGCGACTAGTTGTTGGAGGTGACAGCGTTGCGAATAGCTATACTGGCTCTCAACGTCTGTTTATCACAACTCCATGAGCGACTCTGACTCACGCTGCTACCTGGAGCTTCACGAGGTGTTTGTCGAGCTGGAAACAAAGCGTCTCTGTAAGTTTGTATCCCTGGTGATGGTTTGGCCTGGAGAGCAGTATATAAGTGGTGCTTTTCAGGCACAATCTTCCTCAGCCTACTCAAGCTCAACTGATGAGGGGTGAATTCCCCGAAACACTGTGTATTGAGCAGGGAGTGGTGCTTTCTTGCAGGTTTGCCGAGTGGAAGGTGCGACGTGCTCCTCGTGTGCTCCGGATGGCAGTCGTGAGTCAGTCAAGTGTCAAGTTCGGCAAGAAGCGTATGTTCCTAGTTAGAACAATCAACTTCATAATAATTATAATGTACCGTGTATTCTCCATTACTAGCACAGGTCTCCATTACTAGCACAGGTCTCCATTACTAGCACAGGTCCCCATTACTAGCACAGGTCTCCATTACTAGCACAGGTCTCCATTACTAGCACAGGTCTCCATTACTAGCACAGAAGCGTGTGTTCCTAGTTGGAACAATCAACTTCATGACTATTACCGCCGAAGTCGCAACTTCTAAGTTCGTATTATGATTATTAGTTACTTTATCATTGTGGGACACAGAGTGAGTCTTTTTGTAGTTACATTATGATTGTAGCAGAAGCATCCATGAACACCAACCAGACCGATGCATCCAGAAAGAATCTGTCACAACACTCGCACTCTTTCCAAGTTTTCCTCCCTGCACTGACTGGTCGCCAGGCCCCCGGCGAGGAAGAACGTGCCATCCTGGCGCTTCCGTGTCGTCATGGTGGTTTGGGAATTCTAAACCCAGGGACCCTTTCCCAGCAGTACGACACGTCTACGGCTGTCACCAGACCTCTAGTCGAGCAGCTCCTTCGACAGGAGGAATCCATCGAGGAAGTTGTTGCTGCCACCAAGGCGGCCCAACGCACAGCTAATCGCCAAGATCAGGCAATGGCCCTCTCCTCCCTCAGGGATACCCTGAGTGACGACCACAGGCGGACTCTGGATCTAGCCGCAGAGAAAGGTGCCTCCAGTTGGCTCACTAGTCGGCCATCTCGCCAGTTCCAGTTTACCATCCACAAGGCTGGCTTCTGGGATGCCCTATGTCTGCGCTACGGCTGGACCCCTCCCCGGTTGCCGTCTCACTGCACCTGTGGAAAGCCCTTCGACACCACCCATGCCCTATCATGTGCCATCGGAGGATTCACTGGGATGCGCCACAACGAGCTCCGGGATCTAACCGCTAATCTGTTGCGTGAGGTTGCGCATGACGTCAGCGTGGAGCCAGAGTTGGAACCCCTCTCTGGTGAAACATTCCCTCTCCGGCCGGCCAACATGCTCGTCTTGATGTGGCAGCACGTGGAGTGTATGGGAGTAGGTTAGAGAGGACATTAGAGAGGTTAAGATGCACGTTATTTCCGACGTGACGCGAAAGTTCAGCTCGCGTTATTTGCTCGCACGTCGAAAAATCAACGCGAGCGACCTGCTGCTCACGTCGAAATTTGGAGTTTTACGCCAAGTTCGACGTGAAATTGCGCGTCACGTCGGAAATAACGTGCATCTTAACCTCTCTAATGTTTGATGTTCGGGTGTTCAACCCTTTTGTCCCCTCCAACCGAAACCTTACTCTCCCGTCTGTCTACAGAAAGCACGAGCAGGAGAAGAGGCGTACCGTAGTTCCGCGCATATAATTATAAGCCCATGGGCTAATTATACGAAATAATGCATTTTCCGGGGAAAAAATCAGTAATAAACTAATAATGGTTCATTTTTTAGCCCTGGGCCTATATTCGAATTTTGAAGGCAGCTGGCACGCGAAAAAGTACAAGTCCGTGCGCGGTTGTCCGCCTACTGTAGGTACCGGTACTGGTAATGTAGGCTGCACTGACATGCTGTACTACGGTGTTTGGGTCTGTTTACTGGGGAGGTTCTGCTCTACGTTTTGGGAACGCGACGCAAAGAATCACGCGAACTTTCTTCGCGTTCCCGTAATGGGCCATTAGGGAGGTTCTGCTATACGTGAAACGTAGAGAGCAGGTGTCTGGGTTAGAGTCTACGGCTTCGCGTGTTTTGGCTCCAGATTTCTACGCGGAGATGGGGTTCTCTACGTTGTGGCACACGCAGAGAAAATGCGTACGGATTTGCTGGGTATCGATCAACTGCATGCAGAAAACTGCCAAATATGGAAGGGGAAATTCCCAGTACACATTCCACGTGACTTCTCTAGGTGAAACGTAGAGCAGAACAGCATTTCTTTACGTTACGGGAACGCGAAAAAAAGTTCGCGTGATTCTTTGCGTCGCGTTCCCAAAACGTAGAGCAGAACCTCCCTATTCACACTAGCTGCACTACACCCAGAACGTGGCGTACGTGACGTTTTCGTCCGGATAGCCATGACAACATGGAACGTGGCGGGAAAATCGTACCCCCGATACAAAAACGTAGACGACGTATCCAGACCCCTGTACCGAGTTTCGATCTGTCGTTCCCAGTAGGCCTTGGCGGATAATGCTCGAAAAGGTGGCAGATTCTGCTTTTTTTTAACCGAAATTGGCAGAACCATACAAACCTTATGGCGGGCAATTCCTCGAATTCTGCTCCATTTCTTTATCCACGTACCAAACATGCATGAAACTTACCAGAAAAAGTACCGAATTCTGCCAATTTTTCTGCCGGCATTATCCGCCAAGGCCTAGTTCCCAGCAGTTTGTATCCAAAAGAAGCTGTACACACAGCTGGACGAGCAGCGTGTGCTGGCCTGTGTGAATGCACCTGCATGAAAACGACATCTGCCAGTACGTCGTATTCCAAAACGTGACGCGTATTGTAACGTTTCGCCTAGTGAAGTCACGTGGAATGTGTACTGGAAATTTCCCCTTCCATATTTGGCTGTTTTCTGCATGCAGTTGATCGATATCCGAAGATGGTGGGGCGCTAGTAGTATTTAAATAACCTACGTGGAGATAATAATTTTAATATAGCTATGAATAGGATGAAGGCCGCAGACATCACGCAACTACGTTACTTGTTTGACATGTATTACTGTGTATTTTATAACAAAAATATTATTGAAAGCCCAGAATCGATTTTCTCGTTCCTATCATCAGTGGGAAAAAACGGAACTAAGGATACAACCAAAGAAACTGAAGTTAAGTACTGTAAATAGAAAGGTGTTAGAAATAACATCAAGATACAAGTGCAATAAAACCACTAGAGGAAAAAAAGGTACAGGTCCTCCCTCATTATTACGAGTCCGGTTACTACATAAACCCCGTTAGTAAATAGAAATCTGAAATCCCCTGGCGAAACGTGGTCTACACAACTGTTTACAGGTCCGGTTACAACATAATCCGTTAGTACATAAAATCCGTTATAACGACCCTTTGCCCAGGTCCCTGGAGTGCCAAACCCTCAGTATAAGATAATATTGACCATGCAGGGCCAAGGCCAGAACACGTAGGATAAAGCAGAAAGAGGAAACGTATTATGTCTATGTATTCGTGAATATGGACGATCCTTTGCATCCAAGGAAGAGTTATGTTGGAGTAACTTGGAGATTATCTTATAACGAGTTGAAGCATCGATGATTTATGTTGTATCGAGGGTATCCCCGGTAAGTACGAAGTAGTGCCTATTTCACCTTTAGCTGCAAGTCCTGCTACAAGATAAGTCTCGTTATAAGATAACTTTTTCGATGGCCCAGAGATTATCTACTAACGAGGGAGGACCTGTAACAAGATTACATAACCAAAGGCGAGAAGGCACTGAACGAAGTGTCAACCTACGAATACAACTTCAGTGCAACAACGTGCTCCTTCTGCTTACACAAAACAAGCTTATGAATACGTATACAAACTGCCTCAAGGACTTTCAACTGTTGGACATAACGCGCACGACACAGTACAGAAAAATGAGAGTCATCATACACACCAAGACAGTCAGGACGAGATAACAAGTGTAGATACACAGCTGACTTCTTGCGATCAACACATTCATCCGCCTCATCTCGCTCCTTCCCACCCGACTCCTCCTCGTCCATCTCATCGTATTGTACTACTCCCTGATGCGTACACACCACACCAGCGCAAGGCCGGTCTCGAGGCAGGGCACCATTGTTTTTGATCCAAGAGTACCCGCGACTCCCCGGGTTCCCCTCAGATGTGTACGGTATTAGGCCACCCTTTCTTTTTTCGTTGTTTAACGTCCGCGCCCGCGTACCTTTTTGCCTCCGACCGGAAAAAAAACAAGAAAGTAGTACTACAGTCGTCCCTCTCTAATCCGGCACTTGTTTATCCGGAACCCTTGCCAACCGGCGCACTTTCTGACGAAACCGATTTTTTTCGTTCAATTCCTACATCTTAATCCGGCACTTGAATTCCGCCTCCGGCAGTGACTTTTTGAAACGAATCGCTCAAACTGCACGTAGTTTGATTTCATAATCCGGCAGTCGTAAATCGACTGTGCGTGTGTGTGCAAGAGTGGTATCTTCTCGACGGCACAGAGCGCAGAGCGCAGCGACAGAGGCGAGAAGTATTTTCTCGTCACAGCGGTTTTTTCTCGTGTTTTTTTCTCACAAGTGAGCAGTCATCTGATCTTTTTACTCGTACATCTTCACATGTTCTCTAAGGGCCTGGTCAGACTGCGGCAAAATCGAAATAATCCTAGGATTATAATCCGAATCTCCATAGTAACTTG